TTTTTTTTTCGTCCGTCATGATGGTAGCCTGCGAACATCGCCTATTTCTGGCGACGTGCGGCGTGAAACAAAAGCCAGAAATCCCTCGCGTGTTCGCACCGCAGGCCTTTTCGCGCGAAAGCTTTCGTCATTCACACTTTGCTATTATGTGACTGGTCTGTTCAACGGAGCGCAAACAAACCACAAACACAAAAGGAAAAGAATGTTGTTCGGATGTGAGCAGCCGTTTCTTTGGGGGGAGCGTTGCTTGACATCCCAAAAAACGGCTGCGGAGGAGACTACACCGGAGGTAGTTCTTTCTCGTTACTGAATGCAATAAGGTAAGGCTCAAGAGCTCAACACGTCACGCGAACGGACCTTATCACGGTAGCCTTTATTTAATGTGACAGAAACAACAAATGGACAAACTTGACTGCCATAAAGAGCCAAGTCTTGGTCAGTATTGCATAACCGGCACAAGTGATCAGTTCAGGCGAACTGAACGCAACGTTTGACAGAACGTAATACAGGGGAACAGACATAGAAGAAACAAACAATATATGGGCATACATTTTAAACCATGGCCGTTCACTCGCAACGCATACTGAAGAATCGTGTAGGATTAAATTATGGCGTTACACGTGGATTGTGAAACCACCGCTGTGTCTGGGTCGCTACGTGCTCTAGATTATGTCACCAGGCAGTAATTAAAAGCCCTTGAAATGACTAAAGATTGCTGCGCCGCAGCTGGGAATATTTCGAAGGACAGCTTTCTTGTTGTTTTATTGTTTCTTTATTACTATTATTTTTCGGTCACTGTCGGAGGTCGAATGACTCTTTTTTTTTAAATCACCACTTGCCGTAAACAATCTACTGTATTGCCACATTCTCTGCAATCCTTTACTTGCTTTGTTTGTGACACTCCGGAAGCAGGGGGGTGAGAGGGGGCACTACCGTACATGAGCTGTATAGGTATGTTCGGCTCCAACGGGTATCGTTTTTCAGCCATTTTGGTCATAAATAGGGTATCGAATTTGGCCATTTTGATCATAAATTGGGTATTGTTTTTGCACTCTAGTCTTGAATTGGATATGGTTTTTTTTTTAGATAAGGCTACTTTTTCATCATTATCGATAAGACCATCAATAAAAGTTCTTCACAAATTATGTCTACTCTGCAGCAACTGTGCCAGCGGCATCGGTCATAAATAGGGTATTGAATTTTTGGTCAGGTCAGAAATAGGGTAGGGAAAATCGCAGATTTTGGTCAGAAATAGGATAACGACTTTGGGAATCGGGCCGCACACCCCCACCCAATTTTTCTGTGAGTATCCCTCGGGTCCAGAAGCATGCAGTTAGTTCTTTTAATTTTGCGGTATTAAAACAATCAAATATCACTTGTTAGGCTGTACAATGGTCAGCAAGCCGCAACATCAGTATTTTATACAGGGAGTGCCAACACTTCTTCGCACTGACGAAAATATGAATTCTCACCGCCTTATACAACCAATGCAAGGTGAAAGAATCTATGCAGTGATTGTGCCATGCAAATTTTGTCCGCTTTCTCTGTAAGAGTCCTATGTTGAGCAGAAGTTGACCAACACTTAATGACCTTTCTTCCATCTCTCAAGAATCTTCAAAGCACTTATAACCGTCGAGACAGTCCAATATATGCAAAACAGTTGAAGGTAAACTCATGCCTAATAGTCTTAAGTTATTTCACGAATTATCATCAAACTTCGATGCGGAAGATATTCATGTCGGCCGAGTTATGAGTGTTTTTGCTATATTCAAGGTGGTATTTGAGGTGTTTTCATTTGGAATTGCTGAAGGAATCTAATGTTTCGTGGTGGATTTACTTAGAAGGGGACCCGCGAATCTGCAAAATGAAATGAAATAAAATAAAATAAACTAGAATAAAATGGAATAAAATAGAATAGAATAGAATAACAACGTAAAATAAAATAATGTTAAACGCAGTGAGGAATTGGAGTTGATTTACTATGAAAGTCGATTAGAAAGATGGTGTGCTGTGACAATTTGCCACGGATTCTGTCCCACGTTTGTTTTGTTCTAGAGCAATGCTCAGAAAATGACGTAGCGCTGTTTAATCTTTCTTTGTTATCAAGGAAATTCCAAGCGAACGACAAGGCTAACGACGTATTAATGGATTCCATATTCAAATTTGAAATTCAGTCTTAGCAAACATAAGACCGTATTTTAATAAACAACCGATCCTTTAATACTGGACACTGACCCAGGGATTAGTTAGTCTGCAACACAAATGCCAAAAAAACCGCAAGTGATGGAGTCTCCCACGTTGCAGACGAAGAAGTTGCGAGGAGCGCACTGATCGTCTGCGTGGGAGGCTACCAGCGATGTTGCTATTGAGTCATTTTCGCAAGCTTCCAGCGTGGATCGCGGTCTAAAACAGTGGAGATAACATTTGTAGAGGTATTGATATTTCTCAGTTGTTGCATTGTACATTTATGTGAGTAACTTTACTGGCACTTTCTTTGAATTAGTCTATCTGCAATTTTCCAAGGAGGTCTCAGGAGTTTTGTCTATTAGCAAGTTCAGTTCTTTCGTGTGATGTTAAGCTCAATTCTTTTATGTGAAGGTGTATGGCCAAACAATTAATTACCTAGCACCAAGTAGCAATTGGTATTTGTCTTGTACGTATTCAAAACAATGAAATGTAACGCAGAATTAACTTAAGTGCGTCACACAGTTAGCATGAGCTGCAGTTGAGAGAATTTGTCTTCCTGTTACTTATTTTTGCGATTTGACCACAAATATACGTTTAAAGAACTAAATTTTGCGAAAATTGTCTGGTCTTTGTTAACAAAAGTTAATCCCAGAATTGGCACAACTGATTTTAATTTTGCATAGCAATAGTTTCCATGACAAAGAAACTGAAAAACAGTTTTACTTGTTTATTGTGCAGCAAAGCAGAGCTATACATAGTACATAGCAACGTCTATTTGCGCTTACAGCAGAAGGACATTGTCAATTTTTTCAAATGGATACTCGGGAAGAAGAGCTGATTCACGTCTTTTTTTACATTTACCGCAGAAACTTCTGCTTTCTCCCATCTTGGCAACGTAGTTCGTTAATTATAGCACAGTATTAAATATCGGGTGGTTTATTGTTACGAAAAAAATTTTCGCGGGTTATTAATTTCGCGACTTTGGATTCTCGCGAAAATAAGTAACCACTGTGTTGCGAATGCCAAGACTCAACAGGCCGTTCTTCGCAAACTTCACAAGTTTATTTTAAGATCACAAGGTTCGCTTTCCTCTCTCGCTCTGACTGTGT